GGAGCAGTTACCGTCATATCCTGCTCGAATCGGCTGTTTAAATCCTCTCGTGATGACTTATCGGTCGGATTGCCGGCCCGTAGCCTAAAGGTAACATGCTTGTCTTGTAATCTGACGGCGCGGGTTCGAGTCTGCGTAGAGACAGGGCGATCCTCGCAGTATCCTTAGCCCACGTGTGATCGGGTGGTTGCACGACAGCGAAGCGTCGGTACTGCGTACCGGCGTACTGCCGATGCCTTAAATGGATGATTATGACGAGCGGCCGCAAAAACTGAAAAGCAGTTCTTCTGATGCCGCATAACAGCTAGCTGTTGTTGACAAAAATTGGTCAAATTACTAGTGAATACATGCTTAGGCACTTTGGTTTTATACTATGACTTCTTTATTTCATGTTTATTAATTAGCCATTCTCAAGTTACTCTGGTTGTACGAAAGCCAACTATCAGTGAAAGTGATAGATGAAGATGATGATAAAGATGAAGATGATGAAAGACGTTCGTGTCCACTAACGCAATTGTTAAACAGAAAGGGAGTGATATCAAAACATAAAAGAAGTTTTATATTATAGTAGGTTCCATGATTTCCCTTCAATCGGAAACGAATAACACACAACATGGATCACGGAAAACACGTGGCAGTAGTGCATAGGGAAAGAGACAAAATACAACGGGATGAACCAGGTTGAATTCGACCTAGAACACATTAAAATTCGCGAAAGCGCGAAATGTCGTCAAGCACGTGAGGTCCATGAAGATTAGCATTCAAAGCAAAACCCGATCAATAATCACTTGAATCTAGAAGTCCCTGACGAGGTTATGCGAGCCAAACACTTGAAGCCGCACTGATGATGTTGCCTAGTCTGGAAATAAAACGCCTGCAAACTGCTTTAGAGGTTTTCTACGCAAGTGAGCACAAGTCAGTGTTTGCCCACCTTCCTCTTCGAATAGTCAGTACGAAAGTGCGTCATTTTCTGCTTGTTAAGAGACCTGATCGTACGACACAGCAGTATTATGGTTGTCGACCGATTACCTCCACTAGGTCTAGTTTGTCGTATGTCTGATGATCGCCTACCTTGGCGTGCATTAGCTGCCGTTGCTGCACCTAACTGCCCAGTTCAGTTGGACAACTATGGTCCGGGCACCGAAGTGCAGTGGATCCAGCTGCCACGATTCGCGTCGCCAGAATAGCAATAAATAACAAAGGTAAGAAAATGAAGTTGAATACACACACAGGGAATATAAGACGGAATCCCGAAGGAAGTGTGTGTAAATATTCGGGGTGGAATTAAATTTAACAGCTAGACGCAAGAGATCGATTGCAGGAACACCACTGACTGCGCGATGTCTGATGGTCTCTAAGCAGTAGTAAACATCATTCTGAGTCTCTCTCCATGAAGGGTACAGTTTACAATATAGTCGTACGTTCGACCCAACTGTACGGCTGTGAAACCTAGGTCATTAGATTGGCTGACATAAAGAGGGTAGTTACGTTTGACCACTAGTGCCTTCACAGTTTGGCTCATATCTGGTAGCAACACCGCGGTAGCAATGATTCTGTTCGGCGTTGTCTGCGGTGTAGGAAGGACGATTAAGCCGCTCAGCAGTTATTTCACCCATCAGGCTCCGACGGTTTGGTCACGTGTTCTGCCTGCTGACAAACTAACTCCAGCGACATGTGTGGTCTACGCGACAGGGCGTCTGGATGAAAGAGGAAAGGAGGCTAAACGATGACTTTGTCAAGAGGAATGAAGGCTCATAGCTCCAAACTGACTTCGGTTCGAGGCCCTGGACTCCATGGTGGGTACCTAAAAGATGAAGAACACGTTTGGCTGGATGTACTTATTGACATGGCGAGGAGCCGACCGCAGTGGTGTCTGTCTCTCCTCCTCCCTCTACTGCCTAACCTTCCTTTCCAACCACGGGCTCATTTCCTAGGCATAATACAACTGTGTTTTCTTTGCGGCACATTAGCCGGATAGAAGCTCCCCGGAACGATGCCCATCCGTTAATGGTGGTGCGGCTGGCGTGCCTCTGTTGCATGTAGTTTCATGTATTAGGGCACAATAGCTAAGGGGTTTTCTACCTCTACCTATCGTGTATAATGAATGAATAATTCTGAGGTACCATCCACCATCCTGCCAATCAATATTTTTCATGGCTTTATGCCACCTCATCGCTGTCCACCTTGCGGTTTCGCCAAACCTAGTGCAGCCAAGGTGCATAGCGCAGGCTGAGGAACGCGGTCATCGGGCATACGGTGGCCATCACCTAGCCAACGTTGGCGGTTAAGAATCAACAAACATTCAAGTAAGGCACCAGAAGGCTCCTTGCCAAAAACCAACAGGCGGACTTCAGCATTGCTCACACGATGTTCCTACAAGCCGTGAACAGTATTCCGCAAGCATCGGTGGTCAAACACGACCAAGCGTTTAATGTCTTTGCCGCAAACCGGCTTTATCGCAACGTCGTACACACTACTCACTGACAGGCTGATATCCAGCCCTTTCCACAGACGGTTGTGTTTATGGAAAGCCATGCGGGTCCGGCTGATACACAAAGTAACTTCATCAATGAGGTGACCACCATAAGTGACACAACTACCAAGGTACCTGAACCGATGCATCACTCACAGTGGCTGCTCGGATATAACTAGAATCGGTTCAGTCCTGCTATGGCACTTTGGACTTTAAAGGTGTAAAGCACATGCCGAAACGTGTGGAGCTAAGCACCAGTAAATCCAGTAAGGTTCGAATAAACCGCCACGTCTAATTCAAGGAGAGCTATGTCGTCCGCATACTCAAGGATTTTAAGTCGGTCACCCGTTTGAATATCCACCCCGGAAGAGTCTGAAAGAACAAAGTTATGATAAGTTTGATCACAAAGTTGGAGGAGATAAGAGACGAGCTTTACGAAGCCCTTGTTGTGCGGAACTCAAGAGACAGCCTCCAAAGACCCGTACCATGAGCCGGGAGTTGCGAACGAGACAGTTCAGAAGAGAAAGGAGTTTCCATGGCACACCTTCCAAGAATAGACAGTGCCACAAGCTGGCGCTGTCAACAAAGTCCAAGGTGGTTTTCAAAGCAAGGAAAACCATTACAGTCTATCATCTGAATGTGCGTCTGTGTTCTAACACTTGGCGAAGCATATACATTTATACATTTTTCATCAGTCTAGGAATAGACCAAGAACCATTGAAACCATGGAAATTAAAGGAAGGTACAGTTGTCTTAAAAAGAAAACCGAACACAACAGAGGGTAATCCATGGTCTCGTCAGAGGGCAAGATAGTGCCCGGTTGCCCAAGCCGAAGTAGTGTTGTCTTAGGGGACACCAACCCGAGCCGTTGGCTACAAAGCCTGCCCGCAGGACAGCGCGGACTATTCAGGGAATCGCGCCCATTGGGAGTCGGTGACTGAATGTTTAGTTCATACGTCGTTTGTTTGGTCGGTTGACAAACGGAAACCAAATCCTCTCCACAATTTCAACTTTACGTTGCTGAAATTCAATACTCCACCGGAGTGAAACAAGGAGCAGTGAGTATATTGACTGGCGAGTCACATCCGCCACGTCACAGTGCTGTTAAACGGACACTTGTGGCATATTATAGAGAGAACGTTTTCCAGGCGAAAACCCACCACGTCCAAGTATACCGTTTCTGAATTATTTGCTGGAAAGGAATAAACCCGAACCACCCAGCAGGCAACACGAAGAGGTTGTTCAGCAAGCCAACGAAGAGTGAATATGTGGTCGATATAACCCCGATCAGGGTGGAAACCAGTCCTGTTTTCAATAATTCGACTCTCACAGACTTGAGCGAAACCCCAATGTGACCAGACGACAGTGCAGTCAAAATGAGAGGAGAAAGTAACTGAGAGTTTGTCGGGATGGTGTGTGCCGTTTTCCCAGATGGGGCTCTCTGGATGTGCAACATCGGCGGGGTGAGCACTTAAGAAACATGTCGCGTTCATGAAGCCAATAGTGATCTTGCGCGCATTCCCATTGTTAAATGGTTCGCTGAAACGGATGATTTTATTGGAAACGTCTCGTTGACAGTTGTGGTCAAATTATCAATGCAGTATCGGCGACTAACAAACCAATTTCTGTACTGATGATGTTAGCATGGTTGGGATTGAAAAGCTTGCAATCCTCGCTGGATGAATCACTCAACAACCGAACAATCAAATCGTGCCAACATACTAAATAATAATATGTCAGCTGTACGCCGTAACGGCGATGCGCTGCCGTGCGACTACCACCAGTCGCACGCGGGCTGAGTATACTACGCGGACGCCCACCCCTAAGCGGATTCGAACCCACGTCGCAAGAGTGGGAGACAAGCTCGTTACCTCTAAGCTATGGGCCGACATCGCGCCAACAAAGTTTCGAGTTGTGGTGTAACAAGGCCACCTGATGTGTTTACTATGGTAGAAACTCCTCTTGAACCAATATTTTATAACTATTGTGTTGGATCACAGTAACTGGATTCCTCGAACTACGGTGCGTGGACCGTAACTAAGCACCTAAACTGAAACCAGGTGTGTGTTCCTGAAAGATTGTCCACCTCGCTATTCGCACAATAGGGAAAATCTTTCTACGCACTGGATAAGATGATCTGAAGATAGATTGATGCGCACATAGGAAGGGAGCTTATTCGTTTCACACTGCTTGTTCGCGATGTGCAGGGGGCCAGGAACGGGACATTTTGTAGTGGATGGCAAGGCGGAAGCGAAAAGTGGACAGGAGCACACAGGCATGTTCAAATAGCTAAGTTGGTAGATATTTTAAGCTGCTACACATAGCTACCCTGACGCCATCTGCTGCCATACAACGCACAGTGTTTATGGCTAGCAAGAAAAGCCAAAGCACAAGTGTTGTACAGTCGCAACAGAAGCTGACGCCTTAATAAATATGGCCGAGTTGAATGCAAATGTTAACATACGCTCCATGATGGGATTCATAAAGATAAAAAGTTGGATTCTGGATATTTAGATAGTTTAGTTACTTACATCAAGCTTGGAATATATCCTAAGGATGATCCATCCCGACTGTCCACCGAACTCAATCCCACATCGGAGGACCTCCCCTTCTCTGGTTCTACTTTATTCCTTGCAACCATCAGGGGCGTGCTCGGTGTGCTAGCAATCATCCGGATAGCGGGGAACGAATGCGATCCGTAGTCGGACTTCGTGGAAAATTTATCCGGGATGGCCTGTAGCAAGTCATTCAACTTCATGGAAGGGCACTGAGAGGAGGACGAGGAAGAAGACAGTGAGTATGCGGATGCGTCCCGATTGGAAACTGACGTCGGAGCTGCGATGATCTGATGATGATCGGGTGTCTCATGTGTAGCATTCAAAGGCACGCTGACAAGCTGAGAAGTCAAGGGGGTCCGACGACGAGGTGCGCGAGCAAGCAAAAAGTTGGAGCGGGTTTGCTGAGAGAGAGCAACGGCAGCTGAATTTTGGGGGACAAGTAGGCGATGTCGCCGACCTCCTCCAGGAAATCCGGTGAAATCCGTCGCGTGCGTAGGACGCCTGCGCAAGCGCATGGTTATGCGCTTCGGATCAAGACGCATCAAATTGGCCACGCGACGATGTTGCCATCCAATCTAGAACGGGGTGAATGTAAACGGCAGTCGCGTCAGAGCAATGACAGAGAGGAGATTTAGCGAAGTGTGACAATGCAGATGACAGTCATCAGAAAGACTTACCACAACCTGATCATTCACTTCAACAACTTCATCACCTTTACCCAACTTGCCAGAACGAAAAGCCGGTGACTGGGAGGGGGGGGACGAAGGAGACTATGAATGCATACGTTACATATATATATATTATATATTTTTTTGCAACAGTCTATGAATAGACATTGCACCATCGGAAACCATGGAACTCAAAACAAGGTACAGAAATAGTAAAAGAAAACACAACACAACACAACAATGTCCACGGTTTCGTCAGAGGGCGAAATACTACCCGGTTGCCCAAGCCGAAGTAGGGTGTTGACTTAGGGGACACCACCCCGAGCCTTTGGCTGAATAGCCTGTCCGCAAAGCAGCGGAGTGCTGTAACCGATAAGGATCGACTCATTCGTCAACACATGCCAGCCACTTGGAACATCGGAGAGAACGAAAAGGCAAATGCGGGATGAAAACAACGCAATGTCTAAATGATCAAAAATTATGGGGAAAACTGACAAAACGACGGTAGGCTGCTGAGAGAAGTATGACGCGCAATAACTGAATATAGCGCAACGACGAGAATTCAATCCAATGTAACAAGTGCATAAGGTAGCCACGAGATTAAACTTTTTGATTCCTTCATACAGGTGATAAGCACAGAGAATTGAGTGACGCAACAGGTTATCAGCTGGATGGCAAACAGGGGCCTAGACGAAGTTTTGTCAACTGTTTCACGGAGTCAACACGATGGAAAACGGGTAGCGACAATCGATATTGAAAGAATTTTGACGACTCAATGTTGTCATTGACATAGTTCTGGCGCGGTGAGAGAATAAAGCAAAGTTCACTAAAGCCGCAAGACAATCGACATAGTGTTCGTAATCGAAAACCGAATCTACTTTACGTCAACTTTCCCAAGTTGTTCTATGCGGGGAACCGTGAGACAGTTTTCAGATAAGTTCGAATTACTAATAAGAGGAATATCTGCATAGTGGCAAGTAGGCTAATATTCGATAGTAAGCATAAACCCAATGGTTGTCTCTGATGTAACGCGAAACTTTCGATACTTCTTAGATTCATATCAATAGGCAATGCTGTTCTATGCACACGCTGTATGTGAAGAGAGTTCGTCCTGAGTATCACATGAGTAGTGAGTTTCTGAACAACTGTCAATTCAGGGCAAGAATCTTAGGGAGCAGAACAATCAGTACGCTGCTGTTGCGTGCAAACATATGCGCATTGTTTGCAAGTATCGGTAATTGCTTCGACGGTAACCAAGCTAGAACTAACCATTAATACAGTGAACGTAGTATATCTCCGTCAGTTAGCACTGGAATTGCAGTTGGTGTGGCCCTCGTCATTCGGGATGGATGGGGAGCAAAGCAGTACGGCAAGATAACCTGTTCTCCTAGGAGTACTTAACCTCACTAGGAAAGTGCTCATAATTCGAATGAAAGAGCGCGGTAGATTCAGAGAACATTATTAGTAACCCATAATAAGCCTACTTATCATAGAATACAGGTGGAATGCAAAGGAAATAGGTCAGCAAAGCGATTGAATTCCATCGGGCTGGAGTGTGAATAACCAGATGTGGGTCCTAAAACAGCAGTGACATTGGCCATACGACTTAGCCATTTCGGATGACGTATCTGAGCGGGTGCAGCATGTAGTTGAGCGGATGCAGCATGTAGCCACTAGGCTGATTCCCAACTTACGAGGTATGTCATACGAAGACCGATGTAAGAAACTAGGGTTATACACCCTATCTTATCGTCGGCTGAGGGTTGACCTCATCATGACGCACCGGATAGTACATCTGGGTGATTACCCCATGTTGAGACAACTACTTCATCTGCGCACACCAAGCTGCACGCGAGGACACCGGTATAAACTTATCGTCCCGGATTTGAAGCGGGTCGCCCATCAACTCTGTTTCGAACGCAGAGTGGTGAATGTCTGGAACGACCTGCCTCAGCATATAGTAGAAGCCAACACAGTGTCTAAATTCAAGATGCTACTAGACCAACAATTTGCAGAGGCAAAGTACAGAGAGCGAAACGATAAATAATGAGTTCATGTCCGAAAACGACGAATGATGCAGCTACACAGAGCAACCTCTACTCGCTGCTTCGCACCAGTTCTCAGTTCTGACCAATGGATGGCTCATGTAGTGGCCCCTCGTGCACGAAGGCAAGCAGCGACCAAACCAAGTCTCCTAGTCCCATCATACCATCATACCTATCTTCCAAATCCTTGATTGTATGTAATGCACACCGGCATACGGTGAATAAACCTGGCTAAGCAGTTCACAGTAGGCGGATGCTCTAATGATGGATCCCTTCGAAACACCAACTATTATTCACTACGTGCTCTAATCATATGTGAATAGTACGCCGCAAGCGCCGGACAACACAGAGGACAAATTTTTTAATACCTCCAGTGTGGAGCGACTATCATCCAGATCCACGGTACTGATATCGGCTTTCTTGCGATGTCGTGCACTCGATCCAACGTCTCCGTAGATGATCTAGATTTTGAAAAGCCACAAGGACTTAGCTGACACGTGAGACAACCGTAAGGTGACCATTGGAAGTAGCACAACTATCAGAAATAAAGTGATAGACAAGTTGAAGCGAATGTTCAGTGATGCCTAGATCCAGCGCCGTATCGACCCATGCACGCTACAGTACTCTACACTGTACAGAGGATATGCTGACGTGTATCGTTCATAATCAATCTATCCAAAAGCGATTGTAAAAATGATGGTCCCAACCCGAAGAGAGGTAGTTCATTTAGCAGAAAGTAATAAAATCTGACGTAATCCGCTAAGTTTGACCCCCAAGAGTAGTAAAACGGCACAGCATATAGCGAGTTTTGTAATTGATAGGAGATGAGATCGCGCGCCCATACAATAGTTAATGCTAGCCGACTGACAGATTCTAAATGGTAGACAAAACATTTGCCTAAAGATGTATCACTTATACATCAATCGCAATTATGCTTCTGGTGAACGGGTGAAGCGGTACTGGCTATGTTCAAATCGAAATAATGTTGATACAACAAAAAGATACTCAGAAATCCCAGCATTGAGAGGAGGCGTTTGAAAGGTGAATTGAAGTGCTAGTACAATAAAGTTTAGATACAACGAGACAGAAGTATCACCACGAAGACCGCCGAACTCAAAACTCACCTCATTCTGAATGGCAACTATAACGTGGACGTTGTTTTGTTTGGAACAAAAGTTGAAACCCTGATAAATGAATTAGATGAGAAACGAGTAAAGCAAAAAGAGAAAGGCTTAAATACGTAATAGGTGAAGTCGCGTATAGCGCTGCAGAAATAATGTGGCGGGTAAGAAATAGCAGAAAAAAGAATCATAGAGTAGTGGAAGCGGTTAAATGGTACAAATGCAATTTATCACTAAATCCAGTGAGTCGCGTTACAGTCATGTCGCTGTCCGCTACAGATCAAACACTTAGGTCTCTAACTGTAAAGTTGGGGCAAGCTCTGAGACTCAAGCAGGTGAATAGAGTGCCGTGTGCTTTATGGTGTATTGAACAAGATAAATTACACCCACAAGTGAGCATTGATCCACCGATGGACTTAGTGTTAATCCACAGCATCAGGCGCATTTTACGATGGAAAAGTCCTCCCACAGAAATTACGATGATTAGCTGCTCCTGTGTAAAGCAATCTGCACATTGTGAAGGAGTTTCGGTGTTGCGCTGTACAACACGGACACTCCACGACCTGTTTCGTTCTCCTCTGGACTCATCCGATGGATATAGCCTGAGCTGGGGTGAAACTCCGGACCTGGTGGTTAAAGACCGACGTCTTGATCACTACGCCTCTAGATCCATGATTAACATTTGGCACAACGGTAAGAAATTCAAAGTTGGCCTTGGAGTACCTGCCATGTGTCTTGGGTTGCGACACGCGATCTCTACTGGGAGTTTGGTTCACTTCGAAGTAGAAATCGGTCATTCCGATCACAAGAACCGCAGCAGATTTACGTGTTTCGGTGTTCCTGCTAATAACACTGACACCCCACGACCGATTTCTTCCTCGTTTGGACTAATTAGATAGAGATAGTCTGAGCTGGGATGGAACTCAGGGCCTAGTGGGTAAAGGCCGACGAATTGATCACTATGCCTCTAAAATCCGTGAGTAACGCTTGGCACAGCGGTAAGAAATTCAAAGTTGGGCTTGGAGTGTCCGCCGTATTAGGCAGCCACAACAAAAGAGCTCTGTGACACGGTTCCGAGACGTGAATTGGGCTGGCGACAAGTCACGCGGAAAGCTGAGGAAATCAGTGCGTGGTCACGAACACCGGTTGCTATGCGTCCGGCGTGACACGACTACAGCTGGCAAGTGGAGACCGCTAGCAGATTTGGATGTTTAGAAAAGTAACGTGAGACAACCTAGAAACATGCAGCCGAAGGTGATGACATGTGACCAGCAAAATTAACCGTGTTCTGTTCCTTTAACACTTCGGTCTAACAGTCTAGGCCATCAGGTTTTTTCTCGGCTGCATTTGCGACGCCGAGAACAGAGCTAAGAGCAGCGTTACAACACGTCGTGTCGTTGGATTGCGACACGCAATCTCTATTGGGACCTGAGTTCACATTGAAGTAGACTTCGGTCTTTCCGGTCACAAGGACAGTATGCGAATTGGAGGTGTTTCGGTGTTGTTCCATCATCAACCGAAGCACATCAGCCACTTGAACTGTTGCTTCGCTGCCATACAACCATAACAACCTACGGAACGAAAAACAATAAGAGGGAGAGAAGGGGGATTTACCTGAAAAGCTTACTGCCCTCAGCAAACATTCAAGGTCAAGATGCCTACATAAATACAACATACCGTCACAAACAGCTGGATATTGTGCAAAAAGAAGGCGGCATTGGTAATACAGCTTCCTTGCGGCATTCACTACCCAGCGTCATAATCTGCCATTACTCCGCAGATAACTCAGTTCCAAACATAATTTAAACAGGCAGTCCTACCAAGAGACAGCAGCAGACGCGTCACTGGTGTCGGCTGCCAGCCAAGTCCTGTAAAGTCTGGAGCTAAGCGAGTCACGTTGACTCCAGCGTAGAAGGCGAAACGGACTGACGGCACTAAGTTTGCTCGTCAGTGACCATTTCCAGCTGCCAAGTTAATTTTCGCTCTTCTCGAGTCTTGCATCACTCCATATCTGGAAAACAAAACGAGGCCTCGGTAAATGGTTACCAGGTATACGTATGTGCCAAAGCCAACACAACTTATTCAGTGCTATCTGTTGTTCTAGGGAGCTAGTATGATTATCACAATCTAGTACTCGCCTACGTACATCATCGTTGCGAACACGCTGGTGCCACCCGACACCAGTAATGGTCCGAAGACAACGAAGATCAAGCACTTGTAGGCACCGCAAGCCAAAGGGGCTAAGTTTCACTTTCATAGAGTGGGACGGTCTTCACTGTGGCCTTGTAAACACGGCCATCCAGACTGAGGGAAACTCCCTTTTGTCACAAAGAAGATAGTTATTGTTTTGCAATGGATGAACTGAATTCAGTTGCTATGCGCCTACCATTGCTGATGAAGCTGCCAAGAAAAGTGAAGCGATCAACCACTATCTAGGGTCAAGGGCTCATCAAGTGGCTGGTGGTCCTGCAGCAACACTTTGCAGTTTGAAGGTGCAAAACACATACCAAATAATGGGACCACGCTAGCGAGGTTAGTCAGGGTTGACTGCACCGCCCCAAGATCGTTAAACAGCAAGATGATATTGTTCGCATAATCAAAATCAACTACCCTTCAACAGGGCAGCACCTCAGTGCCTGAATCGTGGGACACCAAAACGGAACACTACAAGGTGGTGTCCACGGTGAAATTGGATAAAAAGGGGGAAAACAACGGTTTTCGATGATTCATCTTCAGACCCGTACAATCATATGAGTGAAATAGCAATGGGCGTAAAAGTGGATTAACGATCAGTTCAAATGCGATGGATCACCTGCCGGCTAAAGGCATGAACCAGTATCAAACAGCAAACTAGGACGGAGGTGCAGTTGCACAATTGCAGTTGTTCTCAGAAGGATCCGTTTTGGCTGGCCAAGGTAGCTTAACAGCTTCGATCAGCTTCTTTTGTGCGCACAAAAGCGGTTGATACAACCGAATGCCTCGGCAGTAGCAAGGGTGCGGAGGCGCAGGCCTTTCGACTGAAGTGGAGGGACCCTGTATAGTATCTGAAAGGCACTAACTGGGTCAACGTCATGCCCACTATCAACAAGATGAGCCATAACAGAGCTAGTTATAGCCCCAGTACCACCTCGACGCAATCAGCGTGGTAGGTGCTCCTTAATGCGCTTCGACAGTTACCGCGCCGTTCGACTGATGTAACTAGCGCCACAGGCGCACTCGAACTGATAAATTACCATAGAAGCGGTCAGCGTCGGTAACTTGTCTTTGTTGTGAATACGAATGATTGTCTCCGTGGAAAGGTACACCTAAACTTGGCTTCTGGGAAAGTTGACTTGACAACTGTTGAAAGGCTTCTAGTTACACGCTCAGCAGCGGCATCTCCCTTGAAGGGTAGTCGTATGAAAAATTCTTTTTTCTCTGCTGTCTGAACCTGCGACTGGTCGGGCTTATTTTGCATGTTCCTAAAAATGAAGCGATCAGGATATCAGTTTTCGCGCAGCAAATTCTGAATGAACGTCAAATCATTATCCAACTTGTCTTCAGAACAAATCCTGCGGGCCCTTGTGGTTGGACAGCGAATTAGGTTTCGCCTATATCTCAACGGAACGAAAACTGTGAAAGTTCGTATACTGGCCACTCCAGGTTTTCTTCCTGTAGACCTGCCGTTGGATCGAGCCGTCTGCCCTTCTAGTTAACAGCACATCAAGAAACGGCAACTGATCGTCCAATTATTTTTCGTAGGTAAACTGCAATGATGCGTGGGCCCGATTAAAACGGTCAATAACAGTGTCAAGATCAACAGACTGGTCGGCCACGACAAATATGTCGTCCATATAGCGGTGGTAACATTCAAAGGCCGTGATCTCCGCATGTAACTTGGTATTCTCTAATTTCGCCATGAAGACATCAGCTAACAACGGACCCAATGGCGATCCCATAGCTACACCATCCTTTTGTCGGTAGTAAGTGCTATTGAATGGGAACTGTACGTTCCAAGTGCAACGCAAAAGAAGGCTTTTCAAGTCACGCAACGGTATGCATATACTTGCTTTTGTTTCTTCTATGTAGGAGTAAAAGCGGCACATTGGTGAAAAGCGATCCAACATCCAAGGAAAACATTACTTTCTTGCCGAGGTTGCGGTCTTTGATGTTTCGATAAAATGAAAGGTGTCACGAAGGCTGTAGTGTGTAAGTCGCTGTCTTACTGGCGCTAGCATCTCCACAAGTCATTGGGCGACGGCATGGTAGGGTAAGTTAACCATTGATAAGATCGGGCGAAGCGGGACATCTGTCTTATGAATTTTCGGTAACCCATAGAGCCTCGGGACATTCGTGCCACTCGGCTTCAGGCTATCATAAAGTGTATTCGATATATGTCCATTATTCCGAAGATCTTGCAAGCTTTTAATAATCTGGTTTTCAATCCTTTCTGTTTGGTCCTTTTTCCCTATCGTTCGGGAAAATTTCGATTCAGCACTCAGAACTTTTTCGAGCTTGTTTATATAGTCTTCTTTGTCTAATAGAACGACTCCGGTACCCTTATCCGGTTTGCTCAGAACGATCTTATCATTGCGTCGTAAGCCCTTCAGCGCGTCAAGATGCTTGCGTGTCAGTGGACCGTGAGTTTGGACATGACATTTGCGATACTGGTAGCAGGTGTTCACTAGAGAACATTTAAAGCGTTCCAGGTCTTCATTTGACTTAGCTACTAGCCCTTTTGTTTGGCCAAACAGGCTTTCAAACTGTAACTCATAGTGAAGCTGATTGTCTTTATGTTTGGGGACGCAAAACTTTGGACCAAGTGATAGAACTTCCATTAAATTGGAGTTAAATTTCATACTTGAAAAATTGTGCACGTACCTCTCAGGTCTATCAGGGAAAGTAGATTGCGGCTTATGTTGATTCAACGTTTTTGTTAAGGCCAAACACCTTTGCCGTACGCGGTTTGCGGTGATAGACTGAATGTAATCCAGGAATGTTTGTTTCACGTCCAACGCTAACTCATCAATCACGCCGCCGCTGAGCGTGTAACTAGAAGCCTTTCAACAGTTGTCAAGTCAACT